ACATCGTCCGTGTTGGTATACGCACTCGTGTTTCCCTCTACTTCTCGTGATGGTTTTCGTTCCTCCTGTTGTTGGTTTTGTTTTTGTTCTTTTTGTTGGTGTCGTTTCTGTTCGTCAAAGGAGTCCATAAAGGAACCGTCCGAGGAGAAAGCGTTGAATGATACTGGCATATTCTTGCTCTCATCAGCGGCTCGATTATGATGAGTGCTAGCCTCTCGAAGCGAAGATTTAATGAGCGCATCGTCGTCGTCGTCGTCGTCGTGGATCCTCTTCACTCCTCCTCTTCTGCCATCCGCCCCTTTTCTTTCATACTTTGCGTGCAAGTGTGACCTGCCGTGCGCAGCTTTTCCTCCTATCCCTGATACGAGTTGACGAACGGACCCGAAACGATTTTGTACTTCTTCCTCGAGATTTCGGCCCTCTTTTACCGCCCTCTCTTTCGCTCTTCTCAACGCTTTCAATCGCCAACTAGCGCCGCCGTCGCCGACCCCAACCGGTTCTCCATCGTCTCGCGCACTTTTTCCTGCCAACTCGCGCGAAGCGCACACTTCTCGAACGCGCTCTTCCTCGCGTTCTCGCTCGATTTGAGTCTTGCTCTTGGTGTCTTTTTCAGTCACGTCCGAAGAGAGAAGAGCTTTAGCTAAGAAGCCATCTTTGTCTTCTTCCTTTTCTACTTCTCTGGACGATAAAAGTGCATCCGCTGTTTTGTTTTCAAAAACTCCTTTCGTAGACGACTGCAAATTTCCAGAAACACGTTTTACTTCGCCTTCGTCCGAGTCTTCTGAGTCCGCGCTTTCGTCGTCATCGTCGTCGTCGTCGTCGTCGTCGTCATCCTCCTTCACCTTCTTCTTCTCTTTGTTCCTCTTCTTCTTCTCTTTCTCTTTGTTCTTCTTCTTCTTCTTCTTCTTCTCCTTCTTGGAGATTTTTCTTCTTTCAACGTCTGCGTCTTCTTTCGAGACTATCTGTATAGAAGAAAGCATGGAGAAGACGAAGAAGAATAAGAAGAATTTTGATAACAAAGAATACGAAGAGCGCACGCGGCGGTTTCTCTTTCTCTCTCTCTCTCTGAAGTGTGTGTGTGTGTGAGAGAGAGAGAGAGAGAAAGAGTGTATTGTTTTGTTGAGGAATGTGATGAAATAATTTTCTTTTCTCCTCAAAACCGCACACAAAACGTCGTTTATAACGAATATCAAATACAATCACTTCAGCGGCGGCGAAGAGAAGAGAAGAGAAGAGAAGATGAACATCGAGGAACTCGTCGGTTTAGTCCAAAAGGCAGTCAACGAAGACGAGAACGAAAACGAGGAAAGAGCGGTGGACATTTTAACGCAATTGGAGTCGACGCCGATCGAGGCGTTCGATTTCACGAGCGCAAAGTTTGCGGCGTGTGGGAAATCAATCAGCGCTTTACGGAAAAAGGCAAAGAGCGAATTGGTGAAAAGGAAAGCGAAGGAATGCAAAGACGCGTGGACGAAGATTATTGTCTCGAAGAGCAGCAACGGCACTGATTCTAAAACGCCGCCTCAGAAGAAAACTACTAAAACAACGACGGAGACGACGACGACGACGACGACGGCCCCTAAAAGCGACGAAAACATAGAAGAAAAGAAGAAGGAAAAAGGGGAGGAGAAGGTGGAGGAGGGAAGAAACACGACTACAGAAAATGACGAAAAGAGTGCGCTCGAGCAAGTGCAACGCACCATCGCAAGTAAAATAGAGCAAACGAACAACGCGACTCGTGATCGTTCCCGCGACGTCATCGCGTACGGCTTAGCCTTAGCGCATTGCGAAGGGAACTGCGAAGATATCTCCGTAACTTCTCTGGCGCGAATTGTTGAAGAAGTTGAAGACGCCATGAGTGAAAAATGGAAAGACTTAGGAAAAGAGTACAAAGCAAAGTTGCGACAACTGGCGTTCAACATGAAGGATCCCAAAAATCCAGATTTGAGGAGAGCGATTGCAAAGAGAGAGATTGACGCGACAACTTTGATCGATTTATCGAGCGAAGAGTTAGGTTCAGACGAACGACGCGCGGCGAATCAGTCTATTCGAGAGCACGCAGAAGCAGAAGCCGTGAGGGGCCAAAGGAAAGAGGCTTCAACGACGGCGTTCAAGTGCGGCAAATGCGGACAAAGAGCGTGTACTTTCTATCAGTTGCAAACGAGGTCGGCGGATGAACCGATGACCACGTTTGTCACGTGCGTCAATTGCGAGAATAGGTGGAAGTTTTGTTAGTACCCGTAGTGTTAATTTAAAATCTATTTCTAGTACCATGTCACGTTATCACATCATCGGTATCGATATAATCGTCTGGGTGTTGCGGGAGAGGTCGTTATATATTTTTCAGCCGCATCAAAATCGTCCACATCAATCATCCCATAGTCGCGAAGAAGAAGAAGACGTTGACGATGGAGACAGAATCGATGCCATCGACGGCATCAGCGGTGCCGGAAAAACAACGAGAGAAGGAAAATGAAGATAAAAAAGATGAAAGAGATAAAGAAGGGGAGGCGTTCGCGCTCCTCTCCCATCGGCAACGAAAGAAGATGAAGCGAATGCTTTTTAACAGAGCGGAAAAACTTTCGCGAAAGGAGAAGGAAAAGACGGAACGAAAGTCAAACAGATTAAAAAGAAAAGGAGAGATTAACGAAATGTTATTGAACATGTCCACAGACGAGCGAGAAGCGTGGCGGAAAGAAGCCTTTCGAAAGAAGAACGAAAAGCTAAAAGAAGTACAAAAGAAGGAGAAAGAGATGAAGGAGAAGTTTGCAAAGGCGAAACAGAACATAGTTATCGATTTAGATTTTGACGACATCATGACACCGGCGGAAAAGCAGTCGATGGTGAAGCAGATGCGAATTTGTTACGCGGTGAATAAGAAAGCAAAGATATCGACGCGATTACACTTGACGAGTATGAACGGAAAAGGTACTTCTCGCGATTTGCGAGAGAAGATTGACGGTTTTGAAAACTGGCAAGGAATTTATACGCACGATAACTCTCTTCCGTTTGAAATTGAACGACGAGGGATGACTGACAACGAAGCGAGTATATTCTTCAAACGCAAAAAGGATTTAGTCTATCTTACCGCCGACTCGCCGTTTGAAATTTCAACTCTCAACGAAAACGATATATACATCATAGGCGGGTTCATCGATCGAAATAGACACAAGATGAAAACGTTAAACAAAGCCGAAGCGCTTGGGATTCGACACGCGAGGCTTCCTATAAACGACTTTCCTCAAATGAAGAGTTCCTCTGTGTTAACCGTGAACCAGTGCTTTGAAATTTTAGTCACGCAGCTCGAAATGAACGACTGGAAGCAAACAATCGAACGCAGCGTACCGCGTCGCAAAATTGCAGCAGCGGCAAAGGAAAAATTAGCAGAAGCGCCGAAGACGATGACGGCATCAAAGATACCGATCAATGTAGATAAAGCAGTAGTAGATGGTTTCACCGATTACGGCGAATTATCTGATTAATAGAAATACACTAAAATTTAAAAGTGACATGCCTCCTTCACCAGTCGCTAGCTCTGAGACTCCCCCTCTTCTAAGTAAATATTGGATGAAATTTGCCTTCGACTTTCAAGATGGACAACGCGATGAGAACGATTAGCATGAAAACGAGCGCGGCTAAACAACACCCGAGCGAGAAGTTGCTCTTACCGATGCGTTCAAACAATCGTCGCGCCGAGGATGCTATTCTCTTTAAATTTCCAGCCGTGTGTTCGACGTCGTCGTCAAAGTCATCCAATAAGCGCGTGTGTAAATCTAACTCCTCACCGACTGCTATGGCTATATGTTTCGTTCTCGTGACGTGGTTAGACAAATCCGTCAACTCTTCGTCCTGTTCTCGCAACAATTGGTGCTGAAACTGCAAGAGCGTCGTCGCTTCTTCTTCTTCCTCTTCGTTCGGCTGTAAAACGGACGCTCTGCTCTTTATCGTCGTTGTCGTCGTCGCCGCTCGCGCAATTGAACCTGGCGTAGCTTTTAACTTGAGTAACGTAGCTTCGCCACGCACTCGCAACTGCTCAATCGTCGCACTTCTGCTTCTTATTACCATCGCGGTCGTAACATCTTCGCCACTTGCTGTTGCTGTTGTTGATGATGCAGAGGACAACTCGCTCAACTTAGCTGCAAACGTGGTGAGTTTTCGCCGACCTTCGGCCGTTAGTCTGTTGTTGTTGTTTTTACCATCGTTACTACTACTAATACTACTGCTGCTACTCCTATTGCTGCTTCTATAACGCCCACTTTCTTGCGCTCTTTTCCTCTCCTCCTTTCTCGTCGTCGTCGTCGTCGTCGTCGTGGGTACTCCTTCTAAAAAAATTGCATCTCGTTCGTTCACTTTCTCTTCCGCTTCTCTTAAAAGCTGTTCCAACTCGTCGATTCGATTTTGCCACGCTGCTTCCCTCATTCTTATTCTTCTTTTCGTTCGTTGACTTCGGTTCGTTCGCGTTCGTTAACTTCGGAAAGACAAAAGAGAGAACGAAAGAGAGAACAAAGAGGCGGGGAGGGAAAGGGGAAGAGTTTTTGTGTGCCTTTTTGGTTTTTGTTGTTTTTGCAAGGGTGCCTTTTTCTCTTTTTCGTCTCTCTGTCTGAATAAATATTCCCCGCACTTGTTTCTCTTTCTCACACGCACTCTCTCTCTTTCTCTCTGCGATGGCAACAACAACAACAACAACAACAACAACAACAACAACGGGGACGAAAAAAAGCGCCACCATCTCCGTCCTTCATTCGCTCCGTCTCGCTCTGTTTCAAATCTTCTATCGCATCTTTCTCGAATACTTGGTCGAGAAGAATTTGGTTCCCGACTTCATTCTTCGGGCCGGCATTCGGTACAACTTGCGAACGAAATGTTTAGGACGCTTTAAATCGAACGAAGATGAGTTGCAGTATGAAATGGATTTCATCCGAGGATTAAAAACCAAAGCCGTGGCGGTAGAGACGAATTTAGCGAACGAGCAACACTACGAAGTCCCGACGGAGTTGTATTTGCACTGTCTCGGCTCAAAGCTCAAATATAGTTGCTGTTTGTACGAGTTGTCGTCGACGTCGAGGAGGACTTTAAACGAAGCCGAGGTGAAGATGATGGAGCTTTATTGCGAACGGGGCGAGTTTAAAGACGGTCAGGAGGTTTTAGAGTTAGGTTGCGGATGGGGTTCTTTATCGCTCTTCTTGGCGGAAAAATATCCAAACTCGCGAATAACCGCCGTGTCAAATAGTAAGACGCAGAAAGAGTTCATCGACTTGCGCGCTCGAGAGAGAAACTTAACAAACTTGCAAATCATTACGCAAGATTTGAACGTTTTCAAGCCACCTTTAGGGAAAAATTCGTACGATAGAATCGTATCCATAGAATGTTTTGAGCACATGAAGAATTACGAGGTGTTGTTTGGTCGATGCGAACAGTGGCTGAAATCCGGCGGAGAAGCGAAGATGTTTTTACACATTTTCGCGCACAAAACGTATCCGTTCCACTTTATCGCCGAGAACGAGTCGGATTGGATGAGTAAATATTTCTTTTCCGGCGGAACGATGCCGAGCGAACGCATGTTTGCGTATTTCACGACGAATAAGTTGCATTTGAAAACGCAGTGGCGAGTAAACGGTAAGCACTACAGTAAGACGTGCGAGGACTGGTTGAGAAAATTTGATACGAACAGAAAAGCAGTCGAACCAATTATCGCTCAAACGTACGGTAAAGATCTAACGACGAAATGGTACGTGTATTGGAGACTGTTTTTCCTGTCGTGTTCGGAGTTGTTCAACTATTCAGACGGGAACGAATGGTTCGTCAGCCACTATTTATTTGAAAAGTGTTAATAGCGCTGTGTTAGCGGCGACATTTTAAACTAAACTCTCATAAACAAACTGACTAATCCTTTGAGGTATCCTATGATTTCGCTCGCGCCTAACTTGGAACTTCCGTACACTCTGTCCACGAAAGAAATCGGGACTTCGGCAACTTTAAAGCCTCCTCTTTTCGCTCGAACTATAATTTCCATCTGGAAAACGTACCCCACGGACTGCATCGAGCTCACAAGCGCCTGAAAAGTCGTTTTCCGGTACAATCGGAAAGATCCAGTCAAATCGGACACGCCCGGGTTCAACAACACGTGCGCTAAATAGTTTGCGACTCGGGAAGTCAACTTTCTCCTCGTATCCCAACCGTACACTCCGCACTCCTGCTCTTTGATTTTGCTTTTACGACTTGATTTAGTACTGCTACTGCTATTCGTTATTCTAGATGATATTGATAATGACGACGACGACGACGCTAAATATCTCGTCCCGGTGACGACGTCGTAGTCTCCCTCCTCTTGTTTTCGTATAAATTCAGGAATCGCTTTCGGATTGTGCGACAAATCCGCATCCATGAGAATCACAAACTCACCTCTCGCAAACTGTAAACCGTGAATATATGCCGATCCTAAACCTAATTTCCCTTTCCTCGGTTTCAGACGCAAAACGTCCCGATATTTTTCAATCTTTTGTAACTTTTGAATGGTTTGTTGCGTTTGGTCTTGCGAGTTGTCGTCCACGACGATGACTTCGTACGACGGAGTTGACGACGACGGGGATATTTTTCTTCCTTCCTTCCTTTTTGTTCCCTCCTCCATCGCTTCGACGATGAGGGCGAGAAGCATGGCGATGTTTAGCTGTTCGTTGTACGTCGGAACGATGATTGAATATTTCACAGTATCGCCGCCGCCGTTTGGTTTCCTCGTTGTTGTCCTCGTCATGTTTCTCTCGTTTGTTTCCTTGTCACCTGCCTTTTTTGCAGCAAAATTTTTTTCCCGCCAAAATTTTGAAAAGACGGAAGAGTTTTGAAGAAGATTGAGAGACGAAAAAATCCATCAGCGGTCTTCTCTAGGCCTCTCGTTCGTTCGTCCCTCTCCAAAAACACGCGCACTCCGCACGCGAGAAAATCAAAATGACCACCTGTCCTCGACACATTGCGTGCTCTTCATCTTCTTCTGTCCTCATGAAAACGACGACGACGAGAACGACGACGACGACGACGAGAACGAGGACGTTTTCTCCTTCTTCGAACAAAATTTCTGTGGCTCCCAGTCGTCCTCCTCGTTCAAATCAATCCACCTTTCCGTCGAGAAGAACGAGGAGAGGAGATTTGAAAATCAACGCTTCGACGCAAGACTACGATGACAATAAAGATCAATTCATGAAAATGGTCTCCTCGGAAGGGAAAATGAACGCGTTGAAGTCTATTTCCGCGACTGATCAAAAGTTAACGTCCTCCTCGAGCGTGAATAACAACGTCATTTCCATCGATCAGAGCATTTTAAAAGTCGACCCGTACTCCAAAGACGCGTTGGATATGATTGGTTCTCGAACAAAATCGACCCCGGTGAACTTTAGCGTTCAATACGATACGAAATGGGGTGAGAATTTGTTCGTGTTAGGTTCTCACAAGAAGTTAGGCGCTTGGGACGAAGCGAAAGCAATCCCAATGCACTACAAAGAAGGCGGACATTGGAGTTGCGAGGTGGATTTGCAACCGGGTGGAATTTTTTTCTACAAATATCTCGTGCGTTCGATATTTGGGACGAGGTGGCAAGAAGGGGCGAACAACTTGCTCGTGTTGCCAGAAGCGAACGATTTACCGAAAAACGCGACGTATTTAGTCGAGGACTGCTTCAACGGAGGCCCGACGCAGTTGACGAGAACGAACCAAACGTTGTTGGCCGCCAAGTTGATCGAGACGCAAAAGGAGAAGGTTTTGTACGCGAAGGAGTTATCGAAGCAACAACAAATGACAAAGTCCGCGTTGGAAGAGTTATTAATCGCGAGAGAAGAGTTGGCATCGGCGCAGATGCAACTGGCCCGAGCGATCGGGGACGGACGCTCGTACGACGTCGATACGACGACGACCACCACCACCACCACAAACAACGACACTAGCAGCAAGGAAGAGGAGGAGAAAAAGTCAGGCTTCTGGTCTTCGCGATAACAACAACGCATAATATTATACACCATATTCAAAATTTGCATTTACCGGCGCGGTAAATCGAATAATACTATCATTCCTGACATCAAGCACAGGTATTGAGAAGTTTAGCCTTTCATTGTGTTATATTGAAAAATAAAACGTGACAACTCTTCCTTTGATCGTTGATGGCCCCGCGCGAATAAAGAAAATTTTTTATTCCTCGTTTCATTTCTCGTTTAATTCCTCGTCTATTTCCTCTTCCTCCTCCTCGTTCATTAAAAGCTCGTCTCGCGTGGCCATGCGATGGGTCCTTCTGTTTACCCTTCGATGGCTTTTTGTTTCTAGTTTTGCCTCTACTCTATCTGCCCCTCCGGCAGCTTGTTTCATTCGCACGTGCGTCTCTCTTTTATACGCCGCCTCTTTCTCTTTTACCGCAAGTTTCTTCACTTCTTCTAACAACTCCATGTATAAATCTAATCGTTCTTGAGTCCAATTTGAATCACCAACTACACATCCTGGCTCGTGGACGTGCGTACAATCGGTAAAAGCGCATCGTGCATCTCGCTCTTCCTTGGCTCGCTGAATCGCGTCTCGAATCTCCGGGAAGCAGAGCGCCACATCTTTAACAACCATACTCTCTAAAGACGGATACCCAAACCCGGGCGTATCGGCGAGTAAATTACCACCTTTCATGCGAAGTAAACTAACGTGTCGAGTCGTGTGTTTTCCTCTCCCACTTCGAGCCGATACTTGTTTCACCGATTGCAAATCTGCCGATTCTAAAATCTCTCGCGCTTTTTCGTTTTCCACCGATCTCGAGCCTTTCTTTAGTTTCCCGCCGCCGCCGCCTTCTACGTCCAAATCCGTCACAAAAGTAATCTTCCCCTCCTCGCCTTCTTCGGATGAATCCTTCCTATTTCTATCTTCATCGTAATCGTTTTGTTGTCTCTTTTCGACTGAAAGCGCCGATTCCAAAGCGCTCGTCGCGCGAAGGCGATTTATCAAACTCGATTTCCCAACCCCCGAAGGTCCAGCCAAGGCGACGGTCTTCCCGCTTCCTATAACTTTCACGATCTCATCGATACCATCCCCAGTCGCGACGGAGACAAACTTCGGATCGTATCCCCACCTTCGCATCTTCTCTCGCCATTCTTCTACTCTCTCTTCCTCTATCAAATCTTTTTTGTTGAATACCAAATGAAACGGCACGCGCGCGTATTCAAATGCGACTAAAAAACGCGTCAACTGCTTCTCTTCCAACGGCGGCTGCGACAACGAAAACGTCAACAGCGTCACGTCGACGTTCGCGATCGCTAAGTTGTTTCCGCCTTCGTTCTTCCTCTTCTCGATGTCGTAAATCGTTCCAGAACCTTGCACCCAATCGATCCCAGATTTTTCAGCGTCTAAAGTGACGATATCGCCGACTAAAACTTTTTGCTTCATCTTTTTCAAAAGCGCTCGACAGTTACACAACAACTCGACGTTGTCTTCTTTTCCTTCTTCTTCTTCTTCTTCTCCTCCTCCTCCTTCTTCTTCGTTGATATCGATAATTTTCCGGAGTTTCTCGCCCAAAAGTTCCACGTCGTGCATCGCTTTCGCCTCCTCGGCTCTTTTTCGCGCGGCGTCGAACTGTTCGCGCACGCGGTTCAACTCTTTCGAAGGAATCTGTCGTCGGTTCACGACGACTCGGAAGTAGTTGGCTTGCGCAGTCACGACGGTCCCAAACACGCTCTCGGTGTTGTTGTTGTTGTTGTTAGTGCTATTATTTTTATTCTCCCGAGGACGGCCAACAGACGGCTGCTTACCGCGTTGAACTTCGTCTCCTTCTTTGCCTTCACGGTCGGCGTCGAGCGTCGATGACGCCGCAGCTATCGTCGTTCTTCGGTTCATACACCTTTTTTGTTGTCCTCGACAATTTGAGTCGAGAAGAAGCAAAAGCGCCGACGTTGCAGAATTTTTAGGTACAACACTATGAACGTTTTCTCCTCTTCCACTGAAACAACCACCGACGCGATATCCGCGACGTAGCGAACGAAGGAGCGATGAAGGCATTTTGTACCGATTCGTTGTCGTTGTCGTCGCAATGAGCGACGCTTCGACGCAGAACATGCAAATTAGAAAAGGAGAGGGAGACGGAAGAGAGAGAGAGAGCAGGAAATGAAGCAAATTTCCAAGCACAACGAGTTTTATTACAACTCAACTATGACTTGCCAAGCACAAAAAAACGAGCGTAAGGTTTGCTGGTACCGTGGTATGGAGGTAGTGAGAGCATTCTTTTCTTCTTATTCATCGTTATTATTATTCAGCGTCCTCTCGACGTACTCCATCGCTCTCGCCTTCACGTACGTCATTCGTTCCGTGTTCCCATGAGACCTCTCGTACTCTAAGTACCTCTTGAACAAAAATTTCATGCTTCGCGCGTTCAGCTCCAAGTGCGTGGCGCGTTCAAACAAAGCTCGAATCCTTTCCGGGATGTTTTGCTTAATCTCTTGATCGATATATACGGACCAAATGTCCGTTCTCTTCGGATAATTGCGCAGAATACCTTCGAACATTGTGCGTCCGCGCTCGGGGTCTCCTTCTTTCATCTCCAACAAAGCAACTTTGACTAAAAGTTTGATGTGTTTGCGTTTTGGTAAAGAAGTCGTCGCGCGGTCGAGCAGTTTTCTAGAACCTTCCGCATCGCCTTTGAGCGTAACGTGACGAATGTACGTCAGCCATACTTTACAACTCGAGCGAAACTTCTTCACGATCAATTTAAGCGTTTCTTCAAGAATTTCTATTTGTTCCGCGCGCGTGTACATGTCTACCAAGACGAGGTACAGTTTCTTTGGATCGGCTAAATTCACGGCGCGCTTGAATAGTCTCGAGACAGCCTCTTTTGGATTCGGCAACCCGTGCGAGTTCTCTAAATTCAAATAAGCGATCCAAATGTTCATTCGCTCGTCTTCTTCTTGCGCCGGAATTGCCTCTAATGCGCGTTCAGCGACTGCTCGCGCGTCCTCGTACGCACCGACGCTCACTTGGAACGCGACGTATTGAATCCAAAGAAAGGAGGAAAGCGGTGACGCTAAGATCAACTTTTCGTACTCGGACGCACTTTCAGGAAGACGACCTTCGTCGCGCAACTGTTGCTCTTGTCTCAAGATTTCCATCTCAACCTCACGAGCTTTGCGACGCTTCGCGCGTTTCGAAAGTTTATTGGCATTTTCTCCCTCCTCGAGATGAGTGGATTCCTCTCGACTTCGTTTCATCGCGTTGAGTTTTTGTTTTTGTTCCTTCTCCTCCTCGTCCCAGGCGAAATCAACATCTTCTTCCTTCTCAGTCGCGGTGTTGTTGTCGTCATTTTCGTCTTCGTTGTCTTCGCCATCATCGTCATCGTCTTCGTCTTCGTCTTCGTCTTCGTCGTCGTCATCATCCTCATTGTTCTCCTCGTCGCTTTCAGATTCTTCTGCCCTGCCTTCCTCTTTCTCGGATAAATTCTCAACCTCCTCTTCTGGCTCGTCCAAGTCCATTTTAGCAGCTTTATTATTAGTAGTGTCTTCGTCATCGTCGTCAGAAAGTAAAAGATCATCGTGCATTTCATCTTCGTCTTCTGAATCACCCTCGCGTTGTGCACCGTTATCAATGTCGTCATCGTCGTCTCCAAAAACAGAAGCTTTGATGCCAAGAGAAACTTTACTCGTCTCGTAATCTACTTTCATAATTTTGGCGCGAACTCTTTCTCCGGCTCGGACATGGTTGGCCAAATCATCCTTCACATGCATATCCGCAAACATTGAAATGTGACATAAACCAGAGATACCAGACTCGTCTAAAGTGACAAATACGCCGTAAGATTGCACGCTACGTACAGTTCCCATGACCACATCACCAACTTTCAACGATGCGACTGCTTCTTTGTTTGGCGTTTTAGAATCGGATTGTGAAGCGCGCAGCGACATCTCGACTCGATTTGTTTTCGCATCGGCGGACAAGATGCGTCCGCGAATCAATCGTCCAGTTGGGAATTCAACCGATGGTTTTACGACGAAGCCATCCGCGAGGTTGGTGAGCTTTATCAGCGCGTCCACATTACGCGAAAGCGCAACGAAGCATCCAGATTTGCCGACAGATTTGACGTATCCAGAAACTTCCTTCCCTACTTCAAGGTTCTTGGCGTCGTTAATCTCGGGATTCGCCACGTTCTTTTTCTTTTCTCCAGATTTACTCAACAAAGACGGTCGCATTGAAAGATCGACTTCTCCGCTCGATTTCATCGAAACCACGCGAACTTCTACGACATTGCCAACCTTCATTTCGGAAAATGGCTTTTCTTGAAACTCGTCGGATACGTCGGTTAAGAAAACCCGTCCCGTGACGTGTGCGCCAAGCCTCACCATCATAGAAGTACCTTTATTAAATCGCGAAATGATACCAAAGACTTTTGCGCCGACGCTGACAGAGTTTTGATCCCGGAAAGAAACGTCGACGTGCTTCTTAGAAACGTTGACGTTGACGATTGTTGCTTTAATCTTTTCTCCCTTTGAAAATCTCTTCTCGAGTGGTTTTTTAAGCTCTTTGATCGAGCTCGCAGTCTCAATCAGAGGAACAAAAGCCGTTATTTCCGGTCGAATGCACACTTTAACACCGTCTGGCAATACCGAAATGACGTACGCATGGATTGATTGACCCACTTCGAGCGTTTGTAGAGTTGGTCTTTTCAATGATGCTGTTGCATCAAAGTCGTCATTACCATTCTTTGCATTCTTGTTCACATTTTCGTCGTCTTTGTCTTCGTCTGCGCTGCTCCTGAGAGTGAGATCTAGTAGCCCACCTCGATCACCTGCCATGCCAAGAACAGCAACGTTCACAGTCAAACCGAGCGATAATTCTTCCAGCGGAAACTTCGATTTCGCGAAAGCGCCAGTCTCGGTGATGTGAATGCGTCCTTTTTTACTGTTTGGAAGCGAAACAAGCGCTTGGAGTGGCTGAAGTTCCGAAACGACACCTTGGAATTTAGTCCCAACCTTTGGACCGCTATTCGATTTATTAGTGTCCACGTACGGGACGGTGAGTAAAAGTCGGTTGCTGTAGAACTCGTCACCTTTAACATCGTCAGGAGAAGATGCGGAAGGAACCTGCGCAATTACCACATTCACTCTCTGATTGACCTCAAACCGTTCTGAAGCGTCGTTTAAACGCACGTTGCAGTAGTGAACGGGAGCATATCCAATAGCGTCAGAATACTTTGGAAGAGATAAAATGACATACTGAGCTTTAATAAGCTCTACGATAGCTTCTGTTGCCTCACCTACTTTCAATTTCTTCAGCGCTGCGGAGGCGGATTTTACTTTCTTCTTCTTTTTCTTCGATAAATTCTTCTCGGTCACCACGCTCACTTTACCGATATCAATAACACCTTCGCGTCTAGAAACGTCTAACACTCTTCCAGATAAACGAGTCTCGGGGGTAAATTCTTCTATTTCTACGCTTTCCGGCACTTGATGCGGAGAAACCAACCCAACTGCATTCTCATCTTCATCGATATCGATCAAAACGCCGTAATCCTTCGTTTCGTTGATCGAGCCTTCGATATCACATCCAGGTTCAAACATGCGTACTGTTTTTTCAGATAACAAAGTCTCTGCCTCCTTGGGATCTTGAGCAACTTTGAAATCTAAGAACTCGAGGTCCGCAAAGAATGAGCGAATCAAAGGCGCATCTGATAAAGGTTGCGCGGTTGTTTGCAACCGAAGTGAAAGCGAAAGCCGCGGCGGAACGCATTCAACATCCACCGAAAGGACCATAGCTTGTACAGTTTGACCGACAAAGAACGAATCTGTGGCGTTACATCCGTCAGGTATTTGCGAGGGAGGCGCTAACCCGGTGAGAGAACCTAAAAATCGCACGAATACGCCCGTCGACGATGTTGAGGCGACGTACCCTGGATATATCTTTCCAGCCTTTACCTTATCTGCTCTATCGGGTAGACTTGAACTTGTTACCGCCTCTATAATCGAAAGTTTCCGACTCATGACAACTCTTTTTGGCTTTCTTTCGATAACCACGAAAGCTCCAGGTAAAACTTCCCCGACTTTTAAAGTTGATGCCATGCTCAGAGCCGTGACGGGGTTATCGGATAGGTGCTGAAACGCGACGAGTCCTTGAAACGATCCCTCTTCTGTACTCGAAGTCACCTCAATAATGCTCGAGCCTTGGACTATTTTAGTGATAGTCGCAGATGCAAAAACTTTACCGATTGGTACTGCGTCCGTCGACAAAGAGATAGCAGCAGCAGCAGCAGCAGCAGCACCAACCGTTGCTTCCGCTCCTTCGGCAGCATTGTCGTCTTCGTTGCCGCCGCCGCCGCCTAGCGAAAGTCTCAGTTTGTTTTCTCCTCGATCCGCAGAAACGATTGTCGTTCGAATAACTTGACCAACCGCATAGGCGTCTGCAATACTCTGACCTTCAGCCAACCCGAGATCTTGCGATCCTGCTAATCCCTTCAAGTTTCCATATAGTGTGACGAAAACGCCGTAATCGACAACGCCTGAAATTATGCCGTGCGTCGTTCGTCCAGGAATCGCATCCTCGATCGTTTTCAACACCGGTAATTCCGACTTTATCAACGCACGCTTATGAGTAACGATAGCTCTGTGTCTGGATCGGTCCACGCTGATGACTCGAAACTTCAAGATTGCGCCAGGAGTAACTTTAGATGACGTCGTTCGTCCGACGATATCGGACACATGAATCGGTGGACAAAGAGCTTTGACACCTTCGGCAAGTTTTACGATGGCTCCAAAATGTTCTGTCGCTAAAACTTCACCCTTGACAATCATCCCAGGAACTAGCTCTTCCAGACTGAAGAAGGGTTGCTCCAAAACAGATCTCTTTAAACTAACGTTGGCGACGGCGTCTAACAATCGATGTCCAATCACTCGAACTTTGACTTGTTTTCCTACTTTGTACTTCTTTTCTATTTTTTCTACGTGATCGTCGGAAAGATGCGAAACGTGCGCGTATCCAGCGACGCTTCTAGTCTTTCCACCTTGGCTGATTTGAAGCGATACTCCGACATTTGGATCTACTCGGTTTATCATGGCGTTTTCGAAGATTGACCCGGTCGATGGAAGAATGCTTGCCGGCGAGCGTGCCTCAAGCAAGTGCGGTTGAAGAGATAAACCGACGCGTTTATTTTGAGCATCTACAAAAATCACGCGCGAACGTAACTTCTGTCCTTCTTTAAACGATGTTGTATCTTCGGCTGCGATGTGAAAGCAGTCAATTGTTCCCGAAAAATACGTCATAAACGAGACAGAAATGCCATCTTCGAGAACAGACTTCACGCGCGCTTTTACCAACATCCCGGGAAGAATTGTAGATATCAACGTCGATTTATTTTCGAGCGCAATTGCGCTTGAGCACCGTTTCGTGTCTGCGCTGACTTTATACACGTTACTCTCGCCAAGTTTACTCCCTCTTCCGTTCTTCTTCTTGTTGTTATTGATATCCTTTTTCGCTTTTGGCGTCAACGCGATGACAACTTCTATGAGCTGACCGGTGAGAAGCGAATCGTGCTCATCCCCTGCGCTATCGCGCGACAAAAAACCGGTAGAACCATCAATACCGAATTCGACGATGTATCCGTGATCTTCCACGGAAGTGACTACTGCTGGTATCGCCGCGCCTTCAGTTAAGCACTCTTTATCCAATCCCGCGCACACTTGCGAGAGACGCAGAGTCAACTCAATCCGTTTCCCACCGGTTTTCCCCTCGTCGAGGTTTACAACCGCGCATCGCACGATTTGCCCGACGTGAAATAGAGACTCCAAACCAATCTTTGCTTTTTTGCCTCCATCTTCCTCTTCCTCTTCCTCTCCGCTACTTTCCTCGCTGCTGCTGCTGCTACTACTGAATTCCTCTTCAGACGAGGAATACGAAGACGGCTTCTTCTTACTTTTTCTCTTGACTCTATCCTTGTTAGTAATATAAAAAGCATCCGAGGCTTCTGATTTCGACACCGTTCCTTTCAATCCGTTCTGTAATGAGACGATTAATCCTTTATTCGATACGTGAGAAACAATTCCGAGCAACTTGACGCCTCTGCGTAACGTCTTCCACTTCAAAGCTTCGATGTATTTACCGCTACTTCCTTTACCTCCAGCTTTTCTACCTTTCAAACTCAAAGACGAATCTTTGGATATAGCCGCGAATCGCTCCGTCGCAGTGGTGGTTGTCTTCGTTCGTGAAGCGCGACGAGATCGCTCGTTTTGTTCTTCTTCGTGTTCTTCGTCTTCGTGTTCTTCGTCTCTTTCATCGTCGACGAAATTCCCGCGAGGAAACGCCTCTTCATCTTCGTCGTTTTTGTTCTTCTCGCGCCCGTCTGCACTTCTTCCGCGCTTCTTCATTGCTTGCGTTAACGAATGCGTGCGATGTTTCTCAATGTCGCGTGATTGTATGCTTGGTTCTTCTTCTTCTTCTTCTTCTGGAGAGCGAGGAAAAAAATGGAGCAGTGAAGTCACAGCCGCCATAAAAAAAGCGAGAGCTGCTTCTCTTTCTGCCAATATCACGCGCACTTAACTTCCTCCTTCTTCTTCTACTTCTATTTCTTCTCCTCCTCCTCCTCCACCTCGTGGTGTATATTATAGAAGAAAACCGCACCGTCGTAAGAAGTACTACCACAAACAACAACGACAACAACAACAACAAAAGAGCGAGCGGCGCTTCCACATTTGGACGACCTGGTTGTGTATTCGGAAACTCCTTCCCATTCGGCAGACTCGAGAAACACACGACAACCCTTTTCTTCTACTTCAACGCTTGATTCGTCGGAATAAAAACCATGGCGAAAAAGAAGAAGAAACCGTCGAAACCGTCCAACCCTCGCGTGAAGAAGTACAAGCATTTCGAAGCCAGCGGAGGAGGAGCAGGAGCGAGCGATTGGGAAAACAACAAAAAAGCCGAAGACAACGCTTCCGTTTTCGATAGAAAAAGTTCAAAGCAAAAATTCGAGATTTTAGGACGGAAAATCAAAGGAAAAAGCGGTAACGTTTTGAAAGCGAGAAGGGAAGGATTCGAACGACGGGAGAGAACTTTGTTAGTGGAACACAAATTGAGCGGAAAAGCGAATGCTTTCGTAGATTTACGGTTCGGAGAGTTGGACAACAACTTGACGCAGGAGGAAAAGTCAATCGGACGCTTGGCGCGAGCGCGGTTGGGACAACTGAGAAAGAAGCGAAAGAATACGTATTCGCTCGAAGGAAACGAGAACGACGACGATGAAGACGAGGGCAATGGCGACAGTATCAATAAGGGAAATTTGATGTCGTTGACGCATCTCGGTAAACCTCTGAATGAAAGGAGAATAGCAAACGCAAAGTTCGATTCGGATTCTGACGACGAGAACGGCACGAGACGATTGATGAACGAAGAAATGACGCGAAGAATGCATTTTGGTGGAGGCGATTTTGACGACAACAAAAATGGACGTGATGATGATGATAATACCGGTGGATTTCGACGGAAAGAAAGAAAGAGCACAGCCGAGGATGGCGATGACGATGACGACGACGGCGATAAAAACGGCGACGAAGATACAGGTATGGAGAGAAGAAAAACGAAAAAGGAAGTCATGGACGAACTCATCGCGAAGAGTAAAATGTATAAAGCCGAGAAAGCAAAACAACGCGACGACGATGAAGAACTTTTGGATAAACTCGACGCGGATTTTAGAGTCATCAGTCAAGGCGGTTTGTTACAAGGCGCGCTGCGAAAAGCAGTCGGTCATTTGAAACCAACCAACAAAAATACTTCCTTGAACATTTTGCAATCGGGATTACCGAAAGAAGACGATACGAAAAGTGATTACGATAAGATTGCGAAATCATTAGCTTTAGATGCGAGAGCTCATGCCGCGGAAAGGGAAAAGACATCAGAGCAAATCGAAGCGAGACAAAAGCGACAGCTCGAGGAAGCTGAACGCGCGAGATTGAAGCGTATGCGAGGAGATCTCTCGGAGGACGACGAGGACGACGAGAGAAGGAACGGCGAGGACGAGGATGCACCCTTAGGAGGGTACGCCTTGAGAAGACACAAAGCGCGCAAATTAGAAAAAGAGAATGGAGAAAGTTGTGGTCAACTTTTGACAGCGAGAGTAGGCGGTGAAGATCTCGATGACGATTTTGAGCTCGGCGAAGACGACGATGAAATTTTTGAGGAAGAAGAAGACGAAGATGAAGACGACGAGGAAGATTCAGACGAAAGTGACGACGACGACGTCGACGATTTAGATGAGACTGGAAAGTTCCGTAAAGAAGCGAACAAGATGGATGAGAAACTAGAAAAAGGTAAAAATCGGTTAAGGGAACTTGGGATTCTCAACGATGGAGTAGAAGTCAAGAAGAAAGTAGAGAAGAGTGCAAAGATTCATGAGGGCACAGGAAGCGACGACGACGACGACGACGACGACGATGACAATGACGATGATGATGATATCATGAATAGAGAAATTCTTTTCGATGATGATTCAAAAGAAGTCAGCGATGATGACGATGACGACGACAATGCCCTGAAAAAATCCAAAGAAGTAAAAAAGAAGAAGGATGCCAAAGCTCGAGATGATCTTCTTCGCGCTGAAGAAGCAATGGAAGCAGGCTCGTCAGAAATCCCGTATACGTTTGATGTTCCCGAAACGTTTGAAGCATTCGAAACTTTCTTAACTAAGTACACTTCTGATGAAGTTTCGATTGTGCTTACTCGCATGCGCGTGTGCAACGCACCAACTTTAGCGACTGAAAATAGACGAAAAATTCAAATGCTTCTCGGACTTTTACTTCAACGTTTTGAAACGTTATGCGGCAAAGATAATTTGCCAGTCGCAGATTTGAATGTTATCACAAAGCACATTTCTGAAATCGCAACGCAAGTTCCGTTTTATGCCGCCACTGCAGCGAAAGCGCGCATTGAAAAGATGGGCAAGAGGTTGCAAAAAGCTTTGCGATTGGGCGAAACTGGTTTACCGCCGGCGAGGACAATATTACTTCTTGGATTATTTGCGGATATCTTCAGTTCTACGGATAAGCAGCACGCCGTCACTACGCCGGCGTCGTTGTACATAGGAAACGTGCTCTCACATTGCGCCGTTCGATCAACCAACGACGCAAATTGTGCGGTGGTTTTATGTGCTCTCGCGAGCGCGTACGTCGTTCCTGCCATGCGCATTTTTCCAGAGGCTCTCAATTTACTCACTGCTATGGTCCACGCCTCAGCTGAGAATGAGAAGTGCAAACAAACATGGAACGAAGGATTACCGATGCATCTTCAAGAGCAGTGTGGTGGATCATGGTTGCGGCCTTTTGCACATACAGGGAACGGGAAAAAGTCATCCTCAGAGACGATTGAAGTGCTGTCTCTGGCGAAGTTGTTGTCGTCACGACATCGAAAGAAAACAAAAGCAGTGGCAGAATCAGCTGCCCACGAACGCGTGGCAATGCTTCGATATGCGATTTCGACGCTCGGAAATCTCATCAAACCCGTCCAAAAAGTAGCATGCGCGCCTGAAATGTTGCAGAAAGTGCAAGTCGCGCTGAACAGATTAATGCGTTCGTTAAAAACGTTCGGGAAAAAAGACGGTGCGGTGTACGACGGCATTTTGAAAATGTGCGAAACGATGCATAACGAAATTTGCGAGACGAAGAAAAGTAGCGTTCGCCTCTCGCTCGCTTGGCACACAAAGTCGGTTGAAGCTATTAAACAGTTCAATCCAATGTACGAAGAAGATGGCTTTCAGAAAGGACGCGATTACGATCCGAATAGAGAACGTGCGGAAAACAGAAAGCTCAAGAAAGAGTTGCGAAAAGAAGCGAGAGGAACCGTGCGTGAGCTTCGCAAAGATAACCAGTTTATGCATCACGCGCGCGAGCAAGAAAAAGCTGCAGAAGCCGAGGAAAGAGACGCAAAACACAAAGAAGTGTTATCATTCCTCGAAAAGCAAGAAAGTGACTTCAAATCCGGCGGCCAAGGTGGTCTTATTGTTAAAAACAAACGAAGAGCCCAAGGCGGCGCTTCAAAGAATGGGAACAGACGTAGATTTTAAAGCGCAAGACAAAGAGTATGATGTACCTAATATTTTTACCCCACGTCGTGCAACGTCTCAAATTACGATTCGTTTCTCAACTCCAACATTATGCGCTCCATGTCATCCTTTGTCACCGTGTATCCAGCACCGTTCCTCTCCGAAATCTCACGTAATTTCTCCATTAACTTCCCTTTCATCTGCGCGAACCCAGTAGCTAATCTGAGTTGTTGGTCCATCGGCAACGTCCCAAACGCCTTTTCGCTCGCGTTCGCTAATGTATCTCCATCTCCGGTATCTCCGTCAATTTTCGTCTGATACTCGAGCACGTCTTGCATCGTCATTTCTTCATCCACATCATCCTCTCCTTCATCCTCTACGTAAAAAGTAGAATCGCCTTCCTTTCTCCAATAAAATTTCATACTCGGGTCGTCGCCGTCCGAGCACTCGTGTTCGGACATTAACACAATTTTACCCGCTTCCGCTGGAAATTCTTCCGTTCGAGCGTCGTAAAGGATATCACACACGTCGTTCTTACTGTTGGTGGCGGTATTGTCTTCTTCTCTTCGCTTTGTGACCGTGGCGCCCCACCAGACAATCTCTTCTTTTATTCTTTTCGTCTCGCTGTTCGTTTTTACTACATTTTCCTCGTCTGAAAGCGTATTCTGAATCACCCAACGAATTTCAATTCTGGAGCCTTCCTTCACGTGCGGCGCGATAATATTCGTTTTTCGTTCTTTTCCCTCTCCATTTTGTAAGAGAATGTTACCGATTGAGTTCTCAACGAGCTGGCGGATTATCGTCTGATTTTTGAAATCTTCTTCTTCTTCTTCGTTTTTGGTGTGTTGTTTTTTATTTCTACTCGCGTCACCGGTTTGTTGTTGTTGAAGATTATCCGTAGTAGGGGACGCAGGACGCTTCGCTGATGTCGATGGAGCAACAAAGTCTGTGTTTACAGTGTCATCGGCCATCACCATTCTTCTTCTTCTTCTTCTTCTTCTTCTTTCCAACCCGTTTTTGTTCACGTTTTGATGTTTTGACGTGTGTGTGCAATTTTGAAGCAGGAGCAAAAAGACAAAAAGAGTTAAGAGAGGAAAAAATCCACTCGAAGTCACTTGCACGCCAGAATAAGTTATGACTTCTCCTCCTCCTCCTCCTCTTCCTCCTTTTCGGTCTAATACTTCCTCCTCCTCCTCCTCCTCTCCATATGTGGCGTTTGTATCAGAACCTTGGACGATATGGATGAAAGAGACTCTGTCTCATCTTAAATCTCGAGGGTTGTTACGAGACTTGAAACCACTTTCGTTAAAAACCAAATTAGGTGTTGAAGAGTTTTACGATACAGGAAGAGATGCGAGCAAGAGTAACATAAGCGATGTACCAACAGTTTCGGTTGATTCCGTGCGCGCTCGAGTAGATAAGGAAACGTACGAGAGATGGCTTAATAATGGAAGCAGCTCAGGAATAACAACAACATCATCGACAACAACAACAACAACAACCGATTCTTCAACGAAAAGCGACTCCTTCAAAGTCGTTACTCTTTTTTCGTCGAACGATTATCTTGGATTGAGCGCGAACGCTCGCGTTCGTCGGGCGTTTGCACGCGCCGCTTTAGAATTTGGTGCGGGATATCGCGCGTCCCAGCTCATAGCTGGATACACGAATTATCATCGAGCGCTCGAAGAGAAGTTGGCAAATTTAGAACGGAAGAGCAGTTGCGTGTTGTTTCCCACGGGTTTCGCCGCGAACATTTCAGTTCTACAAACGTTAGCAGAAAGTGTATTTATAAAGAGACATGATGACAGTAGCTTAAATGATAGAGTAGCAAATGTAGACTCCTCTACGTTAGAGGTTGAGATATTTAGCGACGCGCTCAACCACGCGTCCATCGTAGACGGATGTCGACTCGCCAAGGCGCGCGTTTCAATCTTCAAACACCTAGACTACGACGATTTGGAAGCGAGGCTGAAAAAGTCCTCAGCGAAACGTAAGATTGTCGTCACAGATGCAATTTTCTCCATAGACGGAGATGTTGCCAATATTAAACGTTTAGGTTCTTTGAAGAAGAATTATCCGTTCTTGTTAATTGTGGACGAGGCGCATTCGACACTCGTCTACGGCGAATTTGGAGGTGGGCTCGCGGAAGCGCAGGACGCGCAAAATGATGTTGATATTGCAATTGGAACGCTGTCCAAAGCGATTGGTGCACACGGTGGATTCGCTTGCTGCTCGGAAGAAATGAAATCGATTCTCCTTTCCAGAGGTCGCGGACAAATTTACTCGACATCGCTACCTGCGCCAATCGTTGTCGCAGCAATCGAAGCTCTGGATATCGCACTCGAAAGACCAGATCTTGCGAATAAGTTATGGAGAAATGTGCATTATTTTCACAACGATGTCTTGCGATCGAAGCATAACAGCAATAACGCAGTGACGGTTAAAAAGAATAAAATTGTATCTGGATGCGTGCAAAGCGCGTTTGATATCCGAGACTCACACATCGTGCCTATATTCTGCGGTGATGAACAGACGGCTTTGCGCGTGGCGAAGCATCTCTTGCTTCGCGGCTTTCACGCGCCCGCGATTCGTCCGCCCACTGTTCCTGATAATGAGTGCGTTATTCGTTTGGCAATAAACGCAATGCATACGATGAAAGATCTCGATGAGTTGGGTGCTGCGCTGAACGAAGCCTTTTCATTCTCACCGGGAGAATCAATATTTACGTCTCGATTGTAAAGATATCCATATCATGTGGGATTAATTAATGCCAAGGTCTATCGTAAACGCCTTCGTCGTCCCAAAGTCCACCACCATCAGCACCACCACTGTCTTCTTCTCTGTCGTTCGAAATAAAGGGTTGAAAACATTCGTCGACATCGAACGTTTGTGGAGTGAAATTCTTCTTGTCATTCACGTACCAAATCACGCTATATCTATCACCCGAATATCCGCGAACCCAATGGCACGATCGTCCGTCACACTTTGCTATTCTATTTTTGGTATTTACTCTGTACCTTTTCGTCCCGAGGCGGTTTTCAACCATTAATTCGCCACCCGAATCAAAGTCACCCAAGGACAAAGCAAACTGATAACTCATATCGTCCTTATCGACGTGCGGCGACGCGACGAAATTCTTCGTTATCGCCAAGGAATCGTACTCGAAATCCTTTTCGGCGAAGTTAACCATGATATCTTCGCAACAAGCGCGCAAAACATCATCTTCTGAGATCTTCGTCGCACAGTTGCTAGTTTCCTTTGACTTTCTTTTTAAAACCAGATAATGCTGAGATTCCATCGACGGCCGATGCGAGAGAGCCGACCACCGATACTCTTGCAAGCACTTCAACAGCCTTGTGAGCATATCCTGAGGAACCGGCACTCCTTCCACGTCTATCAATTCACGTCCACTGTCATAATTCAACCACGAATACGTTTCTGGATGCTCCGCACATTCTTGCATTTCCATGTGCTTTCCAGTCTCGTCACCGCGTTCATCGCGCACTTCGCGAAGCCACGCGTAGTATATTTTTTTTTCTAGGGGATCCGCGTTCCTCTCCACCGAACGCGTTGCAGAGACATCCAATACGTGCTTTTCTTTCGAACGCGCGTTTGCTTTGAGACGATATTCGTTACTGCAATCACCAGCATAGCAAAAATCGCTGCCAAACTTCGTATTAATGCCGTTTAAAACTGTAATTGCCATTTCTGCTTCTGCCTGATCGCGAAATCTCAGAAACGCATACGAGAGCCATTCCTTATTCTTCGTCTTTGCTCGCCATCCTTTTTTACAAATCCACAACACTTTCGGCGCCTGGATACTTTTCAAATTCAGATTCAGATTCCAAAGGAGTTGAGAAAGTCCTTTCATCGTCGCGTGTTCTTTCGGAAATCCACCGAACCAAACATCCGCGTTTGAATATGGGGGTGGCTTTTCTTCTCGCTTGCGCTTCTTTTCATGCTTCACGCAACTCGATGATGTTAATATCGGAACGTTATCGTGATTTGCTATTGTACTACTACTATCTTCTTTGCAACTATTCAAAGGATTCTTATCGCACGCGTCGAGGTGCCGAAAAACCGCGTTTCGCGACATGAAAAATCTTTCGCACAGTTGACACTGCGAGTTGGCCGAACTATTTTCTTTCGGAACAGCATTCGCATCTGGTGCATCTCTTCTCTCCTTTCTCCCGTTTTCTCCTCTTCTATCTATATCGTTTGGTTTCAAAAATCTTCTCACTTCTAATGAATCTCCTTTTTTCATCTTTTCGCAATATTCTCGAGGTATTAAAGCTAGCCCGAACGTTGGCGCGCGCTGATTCGTACCAGAACGGAAATGAGACACGACGAGAACGTCGCTGTTAACCTTCGTTGTTAATAGTTCCGGTCTTCCATTTTTTTCATCCAATACGCTCTCCAGCGTTCTTCGCAACATCTTCTCGTCTGTGAGCTTTATATCGTTGCTCTTCGGTAAATCATCTCGACGGCACCAAATAATGGTATTCCCGATGATGACATTCTTCCGCTTTTTTCTTCGAATAAAGTCTCTGACATTTTCTCTCAACGCTTCTTCTCCAATTTCTTCATCCCAAACGGAAAACGTTTCATCGATAGGCATAATCCTATTTGCGTATTTAAACGACAGGTTCTTCTTTAGCATCCATCCCAATGGCGACGAAGTTACGAGTTTCTCGTGCGAGACGTCGAGAACGACAACGCCTTTATGCGCGGTAGCAGTAGGTATTGCCAACTCGAAGTGCCGGGGAAGGCCGACGACGATTGCATTTTCTTCTTCTTCTCTTTCTTCTTCACCTCTTTTCTCTTCAGCACGCAAACATTCTTCGAATCGTCTCAGCAGCGCTTTCTGTACCTCTGCTTGCGCACCGCTCGGATTGTTGGTGATTATTACGAGCTTCATATCGTCGTACTCTTACGAGTTGAGAAGTGAGGTAAAAGGTGATTTTTAGAAAGCTGTCGAGCAAATCATTTTTCAAAAAGGAGCTAAAAATAGGCGAATTTTTAGTTTGCGAAAACCTCTTTCTTCTCTCTTCCTTTCATTCGCGCGCGTACAGATTCAGCTCACCGCCGCGCTCATATATAATAATGGACGAACTGCTCGCATTATTAGAGGGTGATGATGCCGATGATTTACCTTATTCAAAGACATCCTCCCCGTCTTTCTCTTTTTCTCTCCGACGACTTCTGAAACACGCGAAATATTTGCGAGAGGGGTGCAAGCTCAACGACGCGACGGTTTCACGAGCCGCTTTGCGCGACTCTGAGGCGATTGAAGAGTGCTGCAAACGAGTTCGAGCGTGTAAAAGCATGAAAGACAAGAAGCATGTAACTACCTGCGGTATCGAATCTACGATGATGACGGCATCGTTATCCTCCTCCTTCGCGCGCTCCCCTATTATTAGGGGACGACAAAAAGGACATCAAAGAGAAGGAGGCAAAAATACGCGGACTAAAATCGAACAAGACGAACGGGTACAAACGAACGCGTCGACCTCTTCGTCATCGAGTAGAGCAAAGCCTTCGACAACATCATTATTGATATCATCATCAATAAAGTCCTCCTCCTCGATACGCGAACGACGTGCGCGAGATATAGAGCGAGCGAAAACTCGGCGAGAAGAACGAGAGAGGAAAGCGAAAGAGAAGAAGGAGAAGGAGGAGAAAGAAGCCAACGACAAACGAATGTTGCTCACTTCGCGAGCAAAAGAGGCGAAGAGACTAGTTCTTTCGCGAGAGAACACCACCAAAGATAGAAAGAACGAAAGCAGCGACGACATGACGGAAAAAACGAAGAAATCAAATCCATCTTCATTTCAGAGGCGTAGTCCGCGTTCGCGGCGTGAACGAAAAAGACCGTCGTACATGAATGCGGTGAGAGAAAAAGATGTCGACGCGCAAACGGTGCTCACAATTGAAGAGGTTTTGGAGGCGCTCATCGCTGCTACTGTGCGCAGTGCCTCGAACGCGGCGTGGAAACGTGCAAAGATGCTGGCGACGCAAGCAAAGGTAAAAGAGAGAGAAATACTTGCCTCGATACCAGTAAGCAACGGTGAGAGTGACTGCGGTCGTACAAAAGCCGCCACCCCGGCGACAACTTCAAAGAAGGAAAAGAAACCAACTAAGCTTATAAACTTTGTCGACGTGGTAAAAGCTGCGGCAAAAGAATCTGCGCTACAGAAAAGGAACAGAGAACGTAAAGAGGAGAAAGAACGCGATCTTGCAGAAAAAAAGCGACTCGAAAAGATCGCGTTTAAGAAACAGCGCGAAAAGGCTGAACTCTTGAGAGTAAAGCTGGAGGAACTTCGCAAGGAAAAAGAAAAGTTGGAAGATGAAAAGAAGAGAGAAATGAAAGAGAAGAAAAGGATTGCAGACGAGAAGAAAGCTTGGAGAGAAGATCGTCAAAGGAGAAGAGATCAAGCTGCTCTCGAAGTAGCGAGAAATGCTAGAGAAAAAGCAGAAGTAAACGCATTTGTAGACGCTTTAGTCAACGAGATCGTGCGCGACTTTAGCAGGAAAGCTCCGGTGCTGAGAGTTCCAGTAGATATTAGGAGGAGAAATAGACGGCAACAGGATGTAACAGTATAGAACACGTGACTACTAAATTTACAACAAATCACTGATTGGCGGTCTATTAACAATTCTCTCGGCTTCTTTCGCGGTTTTTTTGAGTTGTTCGGAAACATACGGAGCGCGCGGAATTTGCGCCAAGAGTTCGGCGGTGCGTTTGAAAACTCTCGCAATATCACCCTCTTGCAAAGACGTATCGGTCTTAATCTGCGACCAACTCACCCCGCTCGCCCACTGTTCGAGTAAAGCGGCGAGGTCTTGCGAAAGGCTGAGCGGAGCGTTGTCTATACGAGATGCGTATTGAAGATCGGCAATATCTTCGAGGTCCGGAACGAAAGAGGCGAGTATCGTGTCGAGCTCTTCAGACGGCCCGTAGTACGCGTTGACAGCACGATTCGCATCTGAAGACATCGCGCCGCAAACGCCCGCGAGACTGGTGACGGAGATCGTTTCCGGCAGGGCGCTGAGTACGGTTCCTATCCAAAGTTCGTTTTCGCCTCGGAAAGCCATGCACACCTCGCCAAACGTGAGAATTTCAATTTCCTCGTCGTCGTTTTCGCTTGTCTTTCTTACTCGTACGAGCGCGTTTCGATGGTCTAAAATATCCACGACGCGCATGAAATCGTCCCATCCCGCGGCAGAATACTCGCGAATTCGTGCTTCTAACTTGCGCGTGCGCTCGCTCAGCTTATCAGACTTTGCTCTTCTTTTCTTTTGTAACTTCATCTCTCGGCGAAGCAATCCTACGTTGCTCAACTCGCCAAGATCGATCTGAATCCCCTCGATTTTTTTCCTCTGCGCTTCGAGGTAACTCGCGGTGTCCGCATCTTCTTCAAATATTGAGAAGGCATCGCACGTTCCCGGTAAGTTCGCAGCCGCGGCACTCGTCTTCGCGTTTCCGTTTGCACGGTATAACTTGCTCGAACGTCTCCAGCGAATGGATGACTCCGAAGGCGGATTGCCACACGACTCGCGAATTTCTGTGAAAGGCATGGTTTCATTCGAGGAAGCGCCGATATAACTCGTTGAGACGATTTTGTGCGCATCGAATCGATACCACATGCCATCAGCACCTAGACCAGTGAACTCCCCCAACGGAGAAGGTGCTTCTTCCGGCCTTTGTGCGCTGACGACGAGCACAGGAAGCGATCCTCGAAGTTTCCGTCTCTCGATGGTTTCGCGGGAGACTTTCTCGCCGTCCTCGTCAGGATCTTCTTCTGCAATGTAATCGATCTCAAAAATACCGTCCACGTCCACGTCTTCGTTCGCAAAGAACTCTGTCACGGACTCTTCTTTCTCGACGACGAGCGATCCGTCGTCCAATAATCCAAAAGTTGTTCCTTTCACCGACGATTGCCCAACGAGATCCACTCGCCATCCTACGTCGACTGCGATCATTTTCACCCCTTCCTCTCCGAGCGTCAGCGCATCCCACACGTCTTCACGCATACTCTCCACTTTCGTTTCTTCACTTTGCGATTCTAAAAGCTCTAATAATCCTTGCTCTACGCGTAAGCGTTCTTCTAATTTTACAAATCTGTTCCATTCACTTTCGTCTATGCCATCTTGTATGATTTCGCTTTTACTTTCCTGCGCTTTCAACGCGTTGAGCTTATCCAAGAGGCGATTCAACTCTCGCATTTGACTCAAACGCGCTTTACCACCGAGATAGTTCCCGAAACTTTTCTCTACGATGCTTCGAATTTGATTCAAGGATTTATCGCCCCGTAAAAGATTCAAAACCATGCCGTAACTGATGGCGAATTGCGATTTCAAATTCTCCGGCTCGCCGGAAACCAAACTAAACGCGTCCTCCGGACCATCAAAAGGTGATTGTAAGCAAACGACGTAGCCAACGTCATCGAAACCTCTCCGGCCAGCTCTGCCTGCCATTTGAAAGAACTCGTTGGACGTGAGCGTGCGTGGACCAGTGTCGCCACGTTTACTCAGCGCGCTCATTACCGTGCACCTCGCCGGCATATTTACTCCCGCAGCTAACGTTTCGGTAGCAAAGACTACTTTCACCAATCCTCTTTGAAAAAGCGCTTCGACTAAACCTTTCCAAGCTGGTAACAACCCAGCGTGGTGGGATGCGACGCCGCATTTCAAAGGCTCAATCATTTCTTGTCGAACGGCGTCTCTGTTGGAAGCAATGAAAGCGTCAATTTCTTTCGTAATTTCAAGTTGCTCCTCGCGACTGACCAAGCAGGCGCCCGCATCGCGGCACAAATAGTCAACCGCTTGGTCGCACCCTTTCCGAGAAAAGATAAACCAAACGGCGGGAAGCATGTCTGCAGAAATCAATTGGCCTACGGCGGTTTCGACGTGAGGCACGAGCCTTCGACGCATCGACTTTTGGTCGTTATCTCGCCTGCTGTTAATATTATTATCATAGTTGTTGTAATAACTCTCCTGTTCGCCGCCGTATCGCGCAGAACTCTCCTGAATCCCTTCCTCCGTGAATGGATACAGCTCCGCGTTCATTTTCGTACCTCTGGAGTTTAATAAATAACCTAAACCTGGCCAGTCTCTGTTTGGTTTCATGGAATAAAACCAATTCAGAGGCACCGGCCGGTAATTCGAAACTAACGTTTTGCACTGGACGCTTTTCAACTGTTCGTTTTCATTTTCTTCGGCTCTTTCGTTGTCGGCACCATTCCTTCGCACTTCTTCTATCCATCCGGATAAATCGTCCGGATTTCCAATCGTCGCAGACAAGCACAACAGCTGAATATTCGATGGACAATATATAATCGTCTCCTCCCAAACGGTCCCTCGATACGCGTCGCCTAAGTAATGGACCTCGTCGAGAATAACCACCCCTACGTCATCCAATCGCTTATCCATGTCTCCTCCAGCCGCGCTCGAATACAACATATTCCTTAAAATTTCCGTCGTCATCACCATAATTTCTGCTTTTTCCGCGTTGACTTCCACGTCGCCAGTTTTCAACCCGACTTTTCTTTTGCCAAACATCTTTTGAAACTCTCGCAGTTTTTGGTTAGACAGAGCTTTCAGAGGGGTGGTATATATCGCTTTCTTGCCTCTCATCAAAGCGTTCATGATGGTCGTTTCGCCAATAAGTGTTTTCCCAGATCCGGTAGGAGCGCTAACGACTAAAGAGTGACCATCAATGAGCACGCGAGTGGCTTCTCGTTGGAATTCATCCAGTGGAAACTTGTAGAAACTCTCCATCTTTTCGAGTATTTTTTCCCCCTCTTCCTCTTTAGTTGATGATGGTGACGACGACGAAAGAAAAAAGCTTTCGAAATCAAAGTCGACGGCGGCTTCGTAACTGTTGCTGCTGTTGTTGTTTACGCTATCTTCATTGATATCATTTTCATAAATTGGTTCGTACTCGAATATCATCGCGTCTATTTCATTGCTATCGTTCGATGAAGAAGATGAAGAAGAAGCTCGAAGTCGAGTACAGTTGTTACTCTGAAGATGATGTTTTTGTTTTCGTTGGTGTTTTGAAAGTTGACGAAGATAACCACGACGGAGGTCGTGATGAGAGGTGGAAGATGAGTGGTACGAAGTAGTAGTCATCGAAGATGGAATGCATCTATCACTAACAGTGCTATAACTTGACGACACCCCCATTGTCATATTCCCCGTCTTCATCAATACCGCGCCCGTGTTTCGTATCAACGAGTGTGATGATGATGATGATGATTATTCTAAAAAGTTGTACGAAAACTAGAAACGTCAAAAATCTCCCCAAAATCGCAAAAAATGTCGCGCATCGTTTCGCCAACCTGTTCTTCTTCGTTCCGCCGCGGCGCGAACGTTTGCGCATCGACGAATGTACCAGAAACAAATAACAACAACAAGAAGAAGAAGTTACCAACGCCACAGAAGAGAAGAGACGTGCTAATCGGTTTAAGCGGGGCATCCTTGCTTTCTCACGCTCCTTATTCTTTATCATCAATAGAACAACAACAACAACAACCTTTAACAGATATCGGAGAACTTGGTTTGGGATGTTGGAGTTGGGGGAACTCGTTCGTCTGGGGATACGAAGAATCTATGGACGATGAATTGCAGCGCGTTTTCAACTTAGCCGTGGACAGAGGAGTGCGCCTATTTGATAGCGCAGACTCGTACGGCAAAGACGGTCGGAGCGAGCAGCTGTTAGGTAAATTCATCAGAGAGTATCCGGGCGACGACGCGAAGAAGAACGATATCATTTTGGCGACGAAGTTTGCGCCATACCCGTGGCGAGTAACATCGAGCAGTTTCGTGAATGCGGCGAAGGAAAGTGCAAAGAGGTTCGGGAAAGAGAAGATTGATTTAGGACAGTTGCATTGGTCCACTGGGAACTATCAACCACTTCAAGAAGGCGCTCTGTGGAGCGGCATCGCAGACGCGTACGAGGAAGGGATCATAGGCGCGGTTGGATTGTCTAATTATGGTCCCAGGCAATTACAAAAGATTCACAAATATATGAGTTCAAGAGGCGTAAAGATTTCAACGCTGCAAGTGCAGTATCATCTCTTATCTCGATTCCCGGAGCTAAATGGAACAAAGGAAACGTGCGACGAGTTAGGTATAAAACTGATCGCATACAGTCCTCTTGCGCTCGGGTTGTTGACGGGGAAATATAGCGTGGAAAATCCACCGCCTGGATTGAGAGGCCAAGCTTATAAAGGCGTGCTGCCACCGTTACCGACTCTCTTGGAAATAATGAGAGAGGTTGGGGATGCGCACGGAGGAAAATCGCTTCCACAAGTCGCTCTCAATTGGTGCATGTGTAAAGACACCGTGCCGATCCCTGGAGCGAAGAACGTGCGGCAGTTGGAGGATAATCTTGGCGCATTAGGGTGGCGATTAAGTGCGGCTGAGGTTGCCGAATTGGACAAGGCTGCCGAAAAAGTAGGCGTGTCGACATCGCAAAACATCTTTCAAACAGCTTGAATTTCATCCCCTACATGATATTGCCTTCTTAAATTTTTGATTTATGAACACGCCAGATTTAATTAAAATGACAAATTAGCGCACAAGATACACTAACACCACAAATCAGAACGACTAGACCCTCTATCCTCTCCGTAAAAGAAAAACAATGCATCAAATAATAAAGGAAATGTGCTCTTTCTTACGTAATTAAACACGTCTTCATTCTTCGTTCACGTTCCGTTTCTCTTGCAACCTTCTCATCACAAAACAAAGCGAGAACAAGAAGACAAAAACAATACCACACGAAAATGCGCGAGCGCGTGAACAAAGCGAAAGAGATCGAAGATTCGAACAGTCCCTTCACAAGTATGGACGTAGAAAGTGGCGCAACAATGATATCGAGAAACAAGCAACATCGCGGAATAAACACTATAGTCGTGCCGTGCTTGAACGGGAATGGTTTCATATTTCGCGTTCCAAAGTTTTTCTGGTTGTTCAGAAGAAACGTCAACATGAAACGACGATATCTGTTGGCGCTTGTTTTAATAATCGCATTCGTCCTGTCTTCGTTCTGTGGGATCGATGGTTCAAAGTGCGCAAAGACGAAATTAAAATCGTTGATGGGTAATAGTAGACGATTCCAAGTGCACAAGCACGACGCCGGCGTCGACGCGATGTTGTTCAAAAGCGTTCGAGGGCGTAATTCTTCCTCTTTGTCTTCTTCTTTTCTTACTGAGAATGATAACGACAACAACAACAACAAAAACAACAACAACAATAACAATATCGCCAAACGCGTTGGTATTCCCAAACCAAGAAAACCAGACGCCGAGCGGAGATTGGAGCGACGATTTGGACAACAAAGGAAAATACCTCGGATTGTTCATCAAACGTATTGGTCTCGAGAAGGGATTCCAGACGAGTTGAGAAAGATTTCAGAAACGTGGAAATCGATGAATGGCTAACGTAGTGATTAGTGGTAGGGTTTTCGGAGCAATT